CTAAAAGTGTCATTTTATTGAATATCGATATATTTAAAATAGCAAATTCTTTCTTCTTCATCTTTTTTACTTTTTTTTTAAGTGTATTTACGCTTTTCGTGCGACCGAGAGTTAGCAACCTTAGGAAGAGTTCCCAGATAGCACATACATTTAAAATCGGGATATAAGCAGAGTTGCATTAACCTATTTTGCGTCCATGGAATTAATATTTTGAGTGATGTCTTTTAAGATGTGATGTCATCTGGATAAAGTTTCTTTAGGAGTTATATTAAATTAATTTAAGAATTAATTGACAAAATTTTCGTAAATCATTCATTTGTTTCAAAAATAGCAAAAAGTACACAAAAATATGTAAATCGATAAAATAACAAGTTATTTCTCAATGAGGACAGAAAGCGAATTTAATCTTTTTTCACTATGAATCATTTTGTCTACCTAGACTTTAAATCATTTATATTAAGCAATATTATTTCAATGCTCAAAACTAAAAAAAATTAGTTACTGATCATTAAGTCTCGATAATCTAACTGTAAAGACATCTGGTCGGCGAGAGAGATCCGTCGGGATTCGATTCTCGACCGAAGTAATATTTTTCGCAATAAATTATTCGCAGTTATTAGATTTTATCAACGTATGACAATTAATATTTTTTATTAAAAAATATTTATTGACATCAAAAATTATTAAATTGCCTGTATAATTTAATAAGTGATTGTTTTAAATCCGGAAAAACATTTTGGTCTCCGATATGCAGAATGTATTATATATAAATTCACATAAAAAATATGTGTTTAAGCATTAAGATCCGCTTCGACCGCGAATATAGAATTCTTATTTAAAACAAAATTTTTTTCTAAAATTTGCCGCCCTGGACTATAGCCCATTTTTTCAGCACACTGAAAAAAATATGGTGTATCAACAGAATTATTTTAATTGAAAATAATTTTGTCAACTTACACAATAATATTATTATATTAATGAAACACGCTCTTGTTTTAATAATATTCTATTTGTTTCATGAATACTCTGTTATTAAAGATTATTTTTAATTAAAATGCGGTTGATGTAACATCTTTCTTTTTCAGTATGCCTTAATACAGCCCCGGATGTAAGACATCTTTCGTATATAGTGCATAATATAATATAATACATATGCATAACATTTTTAATATCCATTTCTTAATATAGATTAACTTTAATTTCGCTTAACTTGCTTTTTATTTTTTTCCTAGTTCTGAGAATTAGAACAAGATAAAGAGTTAAGCTGAGATTAAAGTCAATGAATTGATGGAAATAGAGACAAGATGTCTTATGTCCAGATGTTGGACAATATGTGCGATACTAGGTTTATTATATCAATAAATATTTAATAATGTGTTGCGTTATCATAAATAAATATAATATCGGATTATTGAAAAATATGGTTACCTTGGGTAAATGGATTATCCATTTCAGGATGTTCTTATACAACGTCATTGTTTAATTTTCTATCGTTTCACTCCACTTTCCACGATCGCCTCACTGTCCCGGGTGCTCACTGGACTATTACGTACTTTCTACTGCTCGTTACAGATAATCAGTGGCGAACAACCTGCCATCGACAATGCGTGCGGTTTGCTAAAGCGAACCTGTGATTATTAAGAGTCTCGCTAAATATCATGTGTTTTATAATAATTAATTTAGGCGATTAATTTAGGCGTTTTGACGCTCTCGAAATAAATTTTGAAAGAAATCTACACTCTGGGGAAAACGCAAGTTCAATATTTAATAATACGAAAAATTTTCGCGTCGTTTAAAAATTAAAGCCATGGCATATTTTTCTCTTATCTTCAACTTTGACATTTCGTATCCGCGCGAGAACCATCTCTGCTTCCGAGAATACAGTCGCGATAATTTTTCAGCCATAACGATAATCAGTGCCAAAAGTCACACACTATCTAATCGCGTACTCTCTCCATAGAGAACACAATATTTATAAAGCGGATGCACCCGTCTCATTTGATTAGTCGACATTCAATTGATCTCTTTTACGATGTCGCGATTTCTTTTGCTTTTCTCGCAAGTCGTTCTGTTCCTCTTGGCGAGAGCCTCATCGGAGGTGAAAGAGCCGACCTGTCGAATCATCGACGGTTACAACATCTGCCACTATAAAGGGGTGCTCGTCGAAGTTACGCAACGCCGTTTCGAAGATCGATTGGACATCAGCAATCTAAATCTTCTGACAATTCAAGAAGATGCCTTCAAGAACGTGACGGCGACGCACTTGTATCTGAATCAAGGCAATCGGATATCCGTATTGAAGAGGGGATCCTTCCGCGGTTTGCCCAACTTGGAGCGTCTCCACTTGGACGATAACGTGGTACCGTTGTCGGAACACTTGTTCGCGGAATTGGGACACCTACAGTCGCTGTCATTGATCTTCAACAAGATCAATTCAATACCGAAAGATTCATTTGCTGGCCTGTCAAGTCTGATGTGGCTTTACTTAGGTCATAACGATATCGAAGCGATCGAGGCAGAATCTTTCTCAAATCTGAATCCTGAGCTGCTATATTTGTGGCTCAATAACAATAAAATCACTCGTATCGCCCCGGGTTCTTTCGCCGGGTTAACCGAACTGAATCGCCTCCACTTGGACTACAATCGGCTGGTGGATTTGCCAAGCGGTGTCTTTCGAGGATTGAACAAGTTGGAGGTCCTTTACTTAAATGACAATCAGATAACGAGCATCTCCAGGGCACTTCTCCGTGACTTGGTTGGTTTGAAGAGACTCTTTCTTCAGCAGAACGAGATCAGTGCTCTCGAGCCGGAAATGTTCCGGGAGTTGTCACAACTGGAACTACTGCGATTAAACGGAAACAAACTGTCTCACATTGTAGTCGGCACTTTTACTGGGCTCTCCAATCTGAAAGAGATCAAGCTGTCTGACAATAACATCCAGACAGTGGATAATGGCGCTTTCACTGATTTGGTCAAATTGCGATATCTTTACTTCGGTGGCAACAATTTTACCGAAATCGACAAGGAGGTCAGTGGCCTCTCAGATATTACGGTCATCATGGGATAGAGATCTACTTGTATAGATCAGCGTATAATTCTTTCATATAATTAATAAAAAGAAAGAAATAAATAAATCCTTGATTGCAACCTTATGCGTTATTATATTATTATATTTCAATATTTATATTCTTTATATTGAGAAACGCATACTGAAGTTAATGAGACTTGAACTGGCAGCTCGTGAGATAGAAATTAAATATTTCTCGATATGTGCATGACAGTCTCACTGATCAGATACGCGAAGAAAAGAAACGACGCAAGTGGTATTGCTAGATAACGATATTTCTTCTAATCTAACAATACAGAATATATTTACAATACATTGCGTTGTATAATATATTAGAATCAATGTTGAGAGTCAGATTCAATATCACGACGTCGCTATTTTAGACGTGATGTTTATCTCTCCTTCTTAAGGCTCTCCTACTTATTGAATTTCCATGAAAGTCGGAATATTTTCGGAGATGCACCGAAAAGAGATGCGTCGCCTCCGGCGGATTTTGTTACCCTTTTTTCACGTCGCGAGCTTTGTATCCCGGCAAGACTTTCATTACCGAGATATCCTCCTTGAGATTCTCTTCCAAAAGCTTCTCTATGAATCTGTGATACCATTCATTGAGAAATTGCGCGAAAAATTCGAGGATATCTCTGTGCGAAAATTAATAATGCCTTAAATTAAAGAAGAAATCTCTCTCTCTCTCTCTCTCCCTCTCAGTTAAGAAAATTGCTTAATGAAATATATTTGTTTTGTTTCTTTATTCTCAATATATATATATATATATATATATATATATATATATAATCCGAAAAATATACTTTGAAAAACTTAGAGCAGGATAAACTCTAAAGGATTGAAATATTATATGACGTACCAACTCGTGCCAAGTATTTCCAGCGGTAAGTTTCCTCTTTTTCTTTTAATTCTAACCTTGGTCACAAAAAGATGTACATTTCGTTTGTATGGGAAATTTTTTTCCAAAGAGCAGAAAATGAGAAACTGCTCCAGCATGGCGAAGATATCTCTAAATATTTTTCGCAAAGAAAGAATTCTCGGGCGGAACCTCCGCTGCGTTGCTGAGATTGCCTCGGGTAATGAAACTCGGCCAAAAAGAAAAAGGAAAGGGTATTAAAGGAGCATTTTGAAATGCAAGATGTCACGCGACGAGAGAAGCTGATGCGGTTTAACAACAGTATCTATCTGGAGACACTAGTGTGTCTCGATGCTAAAAATGTTTAAAATAACCGCGTTGGCAATCGTCGCTTAGGGAAGCACGCAATTTTTTGTAAATATCATGTCGTCCGCAAACTTGGATACAAAGGGTTTTGGTTGAGTTTGTGAGGCATCGAAAATCCCCACGCAGAGTTTTTAAATTTTACAGATATATAGGTAGACATGTAATATTGTTTTTGTGCGACAGCGTTGGATTCAGCGCACGCAATACACGCGACGAGCGTTGCACGTGCAAACGCTGGACGGTGCGGAAGAGATGCTGGAGAGGGGATGTAGGAGGTTTGAGGTCGCATTGATTTTGTCTAGACAGGGTGGAGACTGCTCTCGTGGTATCATTCTCCGCGTTCACGGTTTGGTATGCTGTCAGATCAGCGTAGTGCTCGTCAGTCGAGATGTCCCGTTTAGCTTCCGCCGTTCGTTGCTACGCGAGGAGAAACGTCGCTGTCCGGGCCGCTTTTTTCTGTGAAATTAAACGACGGACGCTTTATTAAAATAGTAATTATTAGTTGTTATATCAAAATTGTCAAGGATTCTATTTGTTACAACAATATCGTGATACGATGATATATGAAGAACATAAAGCAATTGTTTGCAGATAAACATAGAAAATGTGACATTAAGTTATTTGAAAAAAAAAGCGATTCGCGTATAATAAACAAATTACATCAAAATAATACTAAATCTTTTTTCCCGTTTGCTCTTTTTTCAGGAACGCCTTCGACTCCGATAATGCCAGGTGGTACACCCGGCACACCATCCTCTAAAGCAAAGGTAAGTTCACATTCCGTTGAAATGGAAACTTCCTCATTCCTAGCATTTTTATGTAATCATGCAAATTAATTTTGTCTCGTAGGAAAAGATAATGTTGCGGGCGAAAGTTGTGGTGGCTCTGTATCCTTTTCGAGCCATCGAAGGCGGCGATTTGTCTCTTGAAAAGGTAAAGATGAAATAAAATTTTATATATATATATATATTGTTACAATAAATTAAACGTAATTCCTTTATGATAATTTAATGGTAATTTTGCTGTTTTCATTACTGATTTTTAATAGTATAGTTTACATATAAAATTAACAATATATTTAAAAATTTG